CATAATTGAGAATATTTATAATTTTCGTTGTTATGAGGTGTTGAAATTTCGTCCTCATACAAATGATGAAAGTGTTGCTATTATTCTTCATATTATTAAATATACATATATATATATATCTGTGTGTGTGTTTGTATTCCTTATATGGAGTTTTGAAGAATATTTTTGCGTAACAAATTTACGTAAATTATCTGAGGATATTACTGACATCATAATTACAATATGTTTTCGAAGTCTTATGATTTCAGTTTCCTAATCAATGTTTTTGCAATAGAAGAGTAACTGGGCAACATTAATTGTTAGACATTTGTTAAGCAAATTTTAAGTTAAATATAATACGCGAAAAGTGTAAGATGAATGTTCTAAACAACAATACTTAGTTTCTGTTATACCTAATGTAGGAGCTTTTTAAGGATTCTTTGTAAACAAAAAAGGAAAGTGTATTGATGTATGATCACAACAGACAAGGTGGCATTAAGAAAATATCTTAATTAAAAGAAACTTTAAGATGTAACTGTATTTAACACTCAGTGAAAGAAAAGGGCATATTTTCAAGAATAGTATTAAAAGGCTAAAACCTAATAAAAGGGTTTATTTTGAAATTCATGGCGATCTGTTTTTAAACATCTATACATGAAATGTATAGATATAATACCCTGAATTAGTATTGTTCTGCTCAACTTTTTCTGATTAATTTTATTAACATTTTAAAGGTGGGCGAAGAAACGAATTTCCAGCTTAGACTACTAATAAGTCAACTTAACGAGGTTCTCTACAAAGGTAAGCATTTTTCTACTTACCCGCTGAAAGAACAATTCGAATCAATGGTTTTGTAGCTTTTCTCAATTTTGAATTGAACCACTTTTTTTTTCTTAATTTTGGACTAATCATTGAAATGGTGCTTTCAGTGCTAATCTTAAAAAGAATTGTGGGTTTAACATGATTTACGACGAACAAAGATAAAATGATTTTGCCTAAACGTTTCAGTGCACCGGGACGTGTAATTATTTTACATCAATTTCTCAGTTATTTCTATATGGGGTATAATTTTTGATGAAATATCAAAAACCCTTGGTTTTCTTTATAAGTAATGAATCTGAAAGCTGATTTTTAAGTCCTGTAAATGGCGACAGCTAAAAAACGATATTTATCCCATAGATTTAGTTTTAAAACATAAACGTTATGCATTTAGGCTTACTGTGAAATTTTGTAAATAATTGTACTTTTTTTCGTTGTGTGTGTGTGTGTCAGTTTATACACAGGCCTATTGTTGGAGATATAGGGGGCCCTGTAAGAAATCGTAAATATGAGGCACTTTTAAGAATTACCTGGCAATACTGGCTTCTCACATATTTTATTCTGTGAAAAATCTAACTCGACAATCAAGTCGAAAAAAATTTCAAAAAAAAAATAATCAGAATACTAATGTTGTTATGCTATTTAACCTCGTTAATTAAAACCAAGGTAAATATTCTCAAGACCAATGTTTACTGGGAGGAGTTATCCACAAAATTGCCTTCTGACTCGCAGATTATATTCTGATGATTAACTTTCAGAACAAATAATATTTCGAACTCTTTTTTTTTTTTGTCTCGTGGAGAGTGGAAGAGGAGGTTAGAGAGAAGGTACGTTCTAGAGACATTATTTTCTTCAATAGTTTTGAACTTTCTATATATATCTTAATAGGATGGGATTGAAACTATAATTTAATTATTCAAATCGCTCAAAGACGCTAAAGTATTTCGCCTAACTTCTAAATTGAATTATTTGGGATAAGTTTTTGGTATACATCTCCCTTTGTGGCATGCGAGTGTATACAAAATATAATGACATTTATAACTTATTTAGCTAGCATGATAATAAAATTCGGCGATTTATATAAGTTAATGTGCACAACTCCCACCAGTAGGTAACATATACAATTGGAAAGTAAGAGCGTGTAGGATTTATTAAATTTGCTCCCAACGAAAAAAAAAAAATTGTCTTTGTTTAACTTTTTTACAGGATATGCATTTCAGGAGTTTAAAATACTAGAGTACCAGGAGTCCTAACATATTGAACATAATATAATATTGCACAGATAGTCCATTGAGTAGCTTTGTGCTTAACAACCAACAAACATAAGCTACTAATAAAACTAACCGCAGTAATGAAATTTGAGCTTCTTCTTAAGTAATCTGATTAGATAGTAGAAAAAGTACACCGTTAATATATATACAGTGTAGCCCTGTTATAACGCGATCCTTAGGGGTCCATAAAATGTCTATGCGAAACAAGCGGGGTAGCGCTAAATCGGGGTTCAAGAAAATCACTGTTCAAACTGACCCATTGTTGACCTAACATCCTAAAACACCTCTATTTTCGCCCTATTTGACTAGTTTTTTACACATTTCCTTTCTGGCAAGTAAATTACCTCTGAATTAAAGAATTTTGCGAATGAATCGTTGTTGTTACAGTAGAAATTAAAACACAAATTATTTTTATTAGGCTTTTTAATAAACAAAACAACAAATAAAAACATTCAAGAATATTAACAATCACCATTTGCAGTTTATTTCGTTAAAAACTGATCGAGTGTTCCTTGCTTGAAGGTAGCATATCTCTGGCTGTGAGCGAAATCTAGAATGCTTCTGAGTTGGAGGATTTTTATGTGGTCCACCTCCCGAGTCTCCAACCAACGGAGGCTAGCCTCGAGGTGTTAATGGCTTCAGACACTTTTGGTGGTGGTGATGGAGGCTCTTCATTA